AATCCACGCAATTTCAAAAAACCAACATACACAGCATTACGAAAAGAGGTCAGGTTTCGACCGATAGCAGATAGATTTTAATTCTAAACAAGCCAAACGATTGGAAATTTATCCACCAATCTGCTAAAATGAACACTTAGTTAATTATTAATAGGTCACTATTGAAAAATACCAAATGTCCAACTGTTGCAGTGGTGATCAAAATTATCACCGAATGTCTGAAAACAGCGCATTCCCTAACACAGACTTAAATGCGGTCCCACTGAACGGTGTTCATTCAATCACCGTAAGTGGTAGTGTCCAGTCCAGCAGCATCAGTAGTAGCAGCAGCAGCAGCATCAGTAGTAGCAGGAGTGCTTTCAACAACAACAACAACAACAACAACAACAACAACAACAACAACAACAACAACAACAACAACAACAACAACAACAACAACAACAACAACAACAACAACAACAACAACAACAACAACAACAACAACAACAACAACAACAACAACAACAACAACAACAACAACAACAACAACAACAACAACAACAACAACAACAACAACAACAACAACAACAACAACAACAACAACAACAACAACAACAACAACAACAACAACAACAACAACAACAACAACAACAACAACAACAACAACAACAACAACAACAACAACAACAACAACAACAACAACAACAACAACAACAACAACAACAACAACAACAACAACAACAACAACAACAACAACAACAACAACAACAACAACAACAACAACAACAACAACAACAACAACAACAACAACAACAACAACAACAACAACAACAACAACAACAACAACAACAACAACAACAACAACAACAACAACAACAACAACAACAACAACAACAACAACAACAACAACAACAACAACAACAACAACAACAACAACAACAACAACAACAACAACAACAACAACAACAACAACAACAACAACAACAACAACAACAACAACAACAACAACAACAACAACAACAACAACAACAACAACAACAACAACAACAACAACAACAACAACAACAACAACAACAACAACAACAACAACAACAACAACAACAACAACAACAACAACAACAACAACAACAACAACAACAACAACAACAACAACAACAACAACAACAACAACAACAACAACAACAACAACAACAACAACAACAACAACAACAACAACAACAACAACAACAACAACAACAACAACAACAACAACAACAACAACAACAACAACAACAACAACAACAACAACAACAACAACAACAACAACAACAACAACAACAACAACAACAACAACAACAACAACAACAACAACAACAACAACAACAACAACAACAACAACAACAACAACAACAACAACAACAACAACAACAACAACAACAACAACAACAACAACAACAACAACAACAACAACAACAACAACAACAACAACAACAACAACAACAACAACAACAACAACAACAACAACAACAACAACAACAACAACAACAACAACAACAACAACAACAACAACAACAACAACAACAACAACAACAACAACAACAACAACAACAACAACAACAACAACAACAACAACAACAACAACAACAACAACAACAACAACAACAACAACAACAACAACAACAACAACAACAACAACAACAACAACAACAACAACAACAACAACAACAACAACAACAACAACAACAACAACAACAACAACAACAACAACAACAACAACAACAACAACAACAACAACAACAACAACAACAACAACAACAACAACAACAACAACAACAACAACAACAACAACAACAACAACAACAACAACAACAACAACAACAACAACAACAACAACAACAACAACAACAACAACAACAACAACAACAACAACAACAACAACAACAACAACAACAACAACAACAACAACAACAACAACAACAACAACAACAACAACAACAACAACAACAACAACAACAACAACAACAACAACGAAAGGCTGCCTGCAAGCAGCGAGCTGCAGAGCTCATATGAGCAACCATAGAGAAGGAAGAAGAAGTCCCACCGCTAGGCTAGGATCGGAATCAGTAGCTCGTCGTGCTCAGCTCAGCATTACTTAACCATCACTACAAAACGGTCCTTTTCAGGAATTTGTTAAGAGCATTATTTGGACATTTGTCAAGGTCATCAGTTCCCGCAAGCAGCTAGCTTTCAAAGCTCAACCTGGTCTCTATAGAAGGTGTGGAATTGTAGACCCGAATGTATTGGTGAGATTAATCATCGTCCGACCATTTTCCAGAACACGCTGGTAGGAAGTGTTAAAAATCCATATAGAATTTGAGAGAAGTGGGAATAATTCGCTTTGGGTGCTCTCACGAGTTCAATCTCTCGAAGTCCCTCCTTTTTTACATATTCTGCACAAACGATACTTTCATATAATTAGGAAGGAAATCATGTGAGAGGTGAATTGAACACACTTTAATACCAAAATGCACAAAACTTCGGGTATATGAATCGAAAAAACTCAAGTTGACAGTCCCTTGGATTCTCTTCATCAACTTTCTCTTTGAAATAAATACTACAAATTTGATACGCTTACAAATAAAAAACGGAAAGAGTTAAGATAAGAAAAGAACTAAATGTTCACATTTGTTCCGTCCACTAGCGGTCCTATCAACCTTCCGTTCGTGCCCCTAGGAACAGACCCTTCTACTTTTTTAATCAGGTTAAGCTTTTGTTCCCAGGTCAGAGTGTTGAAGATTTGACCTATAAACAAATTACTGATGAATTGAAGAAAAGGTATGACAAGAAAGACTTTGACGTCATACATACTTTTAAATTTTGGACTCGGAGACAGGGGCAGCACGAGAAATCCGAGGAAAGCAAAAGTAATATATTTATGAAATTATGAGTTTATTTTTCCAGTGTACTCTGAGTTTTTTCAGCAGTAGTGTATACCCGTCCTTTGCATATTTTGTTTAAAATTTAAACATCATTTAACAACAAAATACTTGAATACTTTTTCCTTATTTGCGTGGAATGGTCTTTGTTTTGCAAAAACACTTCAGCCTATTGCTCTTTATATAATACTAATACCAATATTTTTTATAATGCAGGTATAAAATAAACTCATCAAAACTTAATGGTACTTAAGAAGGACTTGTTGCCAAGGCATTTTTCTATTCAAAACCATCTATTGAAGAAGCCATTGAACAGCTAATGTATCTAAAATCACCATTTTACTACACTCCACATAGTTGCAGAGCAAAATCAAGGCCTACTTTAATCAAATTTACGCAGCAATACATTTTACGGATGTTCCGGATCTTTCGGCGAGCCACTTGGAGCCAGTGAACAGCTAATATATAAAAAATCAGAATTTTACTACATTATATACAGTTGCAATGAAAAATCAAGGCATACTTTGATGAAATTTACTTAGCAACCAATTTTACGGATGTTCCAGATCTTTCGGTGGGTCATCTGGCGACCATTTGGAGCCAATGACCAGCTAATATTTCAGAAATCACCATTTTACTGTATTCCATATAATTGCGGAGGAAAATCAAGGCCTACTTTGATCAAATTTACACAGCAATCAATTTTACGGATGTTCCGTATCTACCAGCGGACCATCTGGTGATAACTCGGAGCCATTGAACAGCTAACATATGAAAAATCACCATTTTACAACATTTCTCATTGTTGCAGAGAAAAATCAAGGCCTACTTTGATCGAATTTATGTAGCACTAAATTTTACGGATGTTTCGGATCTTCCGGCGGATCATCTGGTGACCACTTGGAGCCATTGAAACGCCTATATATCTAAAATCATTAATTTACTACATTTCATATAGTTGCAGAGAATAATCAAGGCCTACTTTGATAAAAAAAATACATAATAATCCAGATTAAGGTTGATCCGGGTCATCGGAAGGCCTTCCGGTGGACGCTCAGTATTTAGAACCAGGTTATGGGTTGATTTTGTTAAAATATTAATCAGCACTACCCATAGATGCCTGTTGCTGTGGCTTTACAGCACCACCTTGTTCTAGACGACTGGTACCTTTTCTCCCCCCGATGGCCTCTCGGAAACCCGGAATAAAACCGGAACCACTTGGCCAATCTGTTCCAATTTTTAGTAGACCATAATTTCGAACATTTTTCTACTCACTGTGAAAATTTCAACCAATTTCATGGTAAAACAAAAAAGTTATACCTATGCAAACATTGCTATTCGTATACCTGTTCGTAAAAATAAAAACTGCACAAGCGCGTTAGGCCCTCCCAAGAAGTGAAGCAGGTGGTGTTCGTTTGAAACGCTAATAACTTTTCGGAGGTAACTCGGATTCACATCCGGTCTTCAGCCAAGATGTTCCCAATACTTCAAAGGTGCTACATTTTGTACACGAAGAAAATCGACCCACTACAGCGCCACCTTGAGCCGCGAATGTGAAAGTGGCTCGCTCTCCCATACATTTTGTCGATTTTCCCCATACAAACTTCAAGCCGTTTGAGCGAGGGGTTCCCGTGAACCAAATGACTTCAAATTTTGGCAGGGTGTTTCTGACCCCCAAAACTACCATTCAAGAGGGTAGCGTTTGAAATCCCAGATTTGACCTATTTTGAAACAGTCTAATGTACACTCAGCCCATTACAGCATCAATGACAATAAATTCACTCACACTTAGAAAGAAGAGAAAAAGCAAAAAATACGTACCATATGCCCTTAAGTTTTCTTTATAATATTAGAAAATACCTATGTGATTTTTTTTTGGATATTGTACATCTTTTCCCAATATTATCTAAACGTATTTTTTCTCGGAGCGGGAAACTTCACCATCAATGAAGCATGTCATAGCATAGCACGGGGGTTCCCAAAGCTATGTCGATGACTGGAACGTAACAGCTCATGCACGCTGCAATGCCGAACCAGACGGTCAGTTCGTTTTTAGCCGGTGTGGATAAAACATTAATTTCTTTTCGCGATGATCGCACGATTCGGACAATCAGAAAGGGATAAAGGCATCATGGATTCGGATAACTGCTGTTCTGCTTCCCATAAAATGTTGAGCCCGTTCTTGGTCGTGGAATTTACAGATGACGATGATGTAAGTTATGGTTCTGTGGAATTTTACCGAAAAAGATCAAGGTGTAGTGTATGATAAGTTTGTGGAAAGCAGTGCACACTCAAAAGATTTTCCAATCTAAATAGATTAAAAGCTACGCTAAATCGCAAATCTCCTTCCCGACGCATAGCTAGGTATAAAGGGAGAGAAAACTGACTTAGGCTCTGAACCATTTGGTGGATTATTTTAACTTTTGGTTAAAATTTGACAGATGGAAAGTTATCGATGAACCCTGCTATCCGAGCATGGTTATTTCTGACAGACAAGAAGTTAAATTTCGACCACGGTGGATCGAAAACCGGTCGATCGACAGCACGGGGATTTTCGAACATAGAAAATAACTTTCGAAATGTCACTTTTAACCATGAGTTAATTTTAACTCGGCAAATGGTTCACAGCCTTAGTATAAACATGCTTTATGCACTCAAATGTATAAATTGTGTATATGCGAACGATGTATAAAGGGGATTTATTTTAAGAATAGTATATTTTTATAAGATGGCCAGTGAAATTTCAAATATTTATTAATTTTAAAAATAATAACAATGCTTAACGAATAAATTTATTCTCTAGAATAAATTTATTCTCTATTATTTAACTCAATAAATCACATGAGATTGAAAAGGTGATGATTTGGAGAAAATCTAAACGACTGATTAATACGAATAGGTGCAATAGTGGGTCTCCTAAAAGATGCCTTTACGATTCCCCTGTGCTGATGTAGTTTAGCTGCCATCCAACGATCTCCTGACCGCGTTCCGTCAGTCTTTTGTCGTGCTTCGTCGATTTCATGCAGGTTCGTACCAATCACCGACGGACATCGATTGCCATCCATTGACGGCAATCGAATGTGCAGGAAGGAAGCTTCCACACCTGCGTAGGATATCGCACACATTCAACACACGCATGGGCCGGGACCAACGGATTTACTTCCCTTCCGCAGGAAGACGTGCCCAGAGATTTTTATGCCTCAGAAAAATCTAACCGACCTCAACTGGGATAGAACCCAGACCCATTGGGGTGTGAGAAAGCAGTCACGCTTACTACTACACCAACGGCGCCGGCTCTGTCATACTTTCATAGCGAATCAAAACAAACATAGCTTCAAATTAGAATGTTATCCAAATCAAAAGTATCGGCTTTGCAATATTGCTTTTTTTTTGGCAACACTGCGTTGTTTGTATCGGATGCAAAGTTTCCTCGCTGCTACATTTTAACGATTAATTAATCACTTTGTGAAGTTTGACTACGGTTATAAACCATTTTTGTTAGCTTTTGTGTTTAATATCGTCAAAACAGTGAAAGTTCATTAGTACCTGTCGTATCTCGAGTGAAATTTGTGTAGTGATATCTGCATAGTGGTTGTGTTGTTTTGCTTTGTGCTGCTAAGATACGTCATTTCTATCTCTCATCCCACGTCGATTTTTCGTGATCCAGCGCCATCTGTTTTCCAGTAGTAACACTATCACGCTTTCATAGCACCATATTGTTTGGCGTGAAGTCTACTGAAAGGCGTATTTAATCCCTACCTCAGTAATCATGGTCTGCACACGCTGCCAGAAGACGGTTGCTAATTCGGATTTACTTACCTGCCGTGGCTACTGTGGGAACGTTTTTCACGCTATTTGCGTGGAAGTGGATTACGAGCTCAAAGACCAACTTGGTTTGCATGAGAAGAGCGTATTCTGGATGTGTGATGACTGCGCTAACTTATTTGCGAATGGACATTTCCGCAACATTGTCACTCATTATGATGGCAATTATGCGGGAATCACGGATTCGTTGAACGGGATGAAAAACGATATAGCGAATTGTCTACGAAAGTGGACAGCAAGCAACCTGATCCTTTAACTCCTCTTGGACCGAACCGATGGCAAAAGCAACTGAACGGCGATCTTAAACCGGGTTCGGCTAAGCGACGTCGAACGGATGATACTGCCACTGAAAGACCGAGCACAATTAAAGGAACGAAATCTACTGCCTGTAACTCTGTCAGATACGTGCCTCTCGAGGATGACCTACTGTGGGTGTATTTGTCTGCATTCGCACCTAGCACTACAGAAGATGACATCGCAACACTGGCACGCGAGTGTCTTTCGTTGCGCGAAGATGAAGTACTCAAGGTAGTGAAGTTGGTTCGAAAAAATGCGGATATCTCGAATCTTCGATTCGTGACATTTAAGATCGGCATTGATAAAATGCATCGGGACTTGGCACAAGCTGCTGACTCTTGGCCTGAGAACGTAAATTTCCGTGAGTTCAATGACGACCGGACAAAAAACGTTATCAGGATAACCAGAATAAGGAGTCAAGGTTCGGATCAACCCCACGAGCTGAAACCACCGGATGCGAATTAGATACGAATTTGAGGACATCTAAACCAGAACGCACTGCCTGCCGCCCTATGGAAGCCCCTAATCCTCCCGACCCAGTCCTGCTTCCTGTTTCCTGCCATCACTGCCGTTCTCGTCCTGTGGTCGTGGCTGGCAATCGGGGTTTCCAACATCCTTCTGCAAGCAAGTATGCGCCCCTGTGTAACACTTCACCGCCTCATAATTCTTCGTGTTCTAGCACTGTATTTTATGCTCCTGACTCCCGTTATGAATGCCAACACCTTCACCAACTGCTGTCGTCAGAGGATGGTGCACATCGTTCTCATGGATCTCCGACGTCGCATATGGGCACCATCGCCAGATTCATCAAACCAGAACGCATTGCCTGTCGTATCATGGGAGCCCTTAAGCCACTCAACACAGTCGCGTTTGCTGATTCCTGCCATCGTAGTCGTTCTGGCCCTGTTGTTGAGATCGGTGACGGGGTCTCCCAACCTTCTTGTGCAGGCAAGTATACACGAGTTCATGAAAATCAGTTTCCGTGTTCCAGCGCTTCGATTCTTAGCCAAGACCCTTGATGTAGCAATGAGGAAAATGTCTATTCGAGTACTAGGACGATCATTCATCCGGAACGCATGCAACAAGGTATCTTGGGAGCCCTCGTTCACTCTGACCCAGTCGAGCCAATTGCCGTTTCCTGCCAGTCATCTGTGGTATCCTGCCGTCCAAGTCGTTCCGGCCCTGTGGTCGGAGATAGGGCGAGGGTCTCCCGTCCTGGCTTTTCAGGCAAGTATGCGTGCTTTCTCGGTGATTCTCTTCGTGATCAACATTTGGATTTCAGCGCAACACCCACTCAAATTCATTGCATTCTGCCGAGGAATGGACGAGAAGTTTATGACAATCCTTCCTCAACAACTTCCGAGCTACGCATTTACTATCAGAATGCACGAGGACTTCGGACAAAGATAGATTCTTTCTTCTTAGCTACAACTGACTCGGAATATGATGTTATCGTGCTAACTGAGACTGAGGCTGAACGATTGCATCTTGTCTACTCAATTATTCAACGACTCTTACACTGTGTTCAGGACAGATCGTAGCTCTTTGAACAGTCGAAAAACTCGTGGTGGAGGTGTATTGATAGCCGTCTCTTCTAAATTGTGTTGCTGTATTGATCCAGCTCCGATAAGTAATGCTCTTGAGCAGCTTTGGATCAAAATCAAACTGCAGAACTATGATGTTAGCATTGGAGTGCTTTATCTACCACCTGATTGCAGAGACGACCTGTCGCTCATGCAGCAACAAACTGACTCCATTGATTCAATCCTTTCCGGCTTGAGGCCTCATGACCTTGCTTTCCAGTTTGAGGACTATAATCATCCTGAAATGCACTGGGTACCATCAGAGGATGGTGGCCTCACAATAGATTCCCATACATCGAGATTAACGAATGCTAGTTGTGCATTGTACGATGCCTTCTGCTTCCAGGGTCTGACACAAATCAATACTGTGAAGAACTCCAGTTCACGGATTCTCGATTTAGTACTCGTGAATGACTCAGCGTTATCAAGCTGTTGCGTATCCGAAGCGGCTGAATCGCTCGTAGAAATCGATACTCCACATCCTGCTATTGACGTCACCGTTTCTATTTCGGTACCAGTGTCATTTGAACCATCTCTAGACGACTGCCGGTTCGATTTTCGTCGGGCTGATTATAGTTCGATGAATGATGCGCTATTATCAATCGATTGGCAATTTTTGGATTCTGATCAGGATCTGGACGATATTGTATGTATTTTCAACACGGAGATACGTCAAGTCATCGAAGCTCACGTGCCTCTTCAGCGCCCTCCACTGAAGCCTCCTTGGACGAACAGGAGCCTTTGCCAGTTGAAGCGCCGTAGGCGATCTGCACTTTCAACGTATAGTCGGAGTCGTTTGCAGCACTCCAAACATCGCTTTGTAATGGCCAGAAACAAGTACACACGGTATTACCGTCTATTGTATGTTCGATACGTTGATCGTACGCAGAGAAATTTACGTCTACATCCCAAACAGTTCTGGTCTTTTGTTCGTACTAAACGCAAGGAAGATGGATTGCCAACGTCCATGTATTTCGGCGACCGATTTGCTAGCACAGCCTCTAGTAAATGTGAGATCTTTGCTGAACACTTCAAGAATGTCTTCTCAAATACGCCTGCTACGCCATCGCAGATAGAGGCTGCTGTTCGTGATACGCCGCTAGACAGCATCGACTTTGGAATTTTCCAGATCAGCGAGGAGCATGTCGAAAATGCATTACGTAAGCTCAAACATTCCGTGTCACCCGGTCCTGATGGGATTCCTTCATCTGTGTTGAAAAACTGCTCAAGTTCTCTGATGACACCGTTAGTAAAACTGTTCAATCTCTCGTTCCAACAGCAAAAATTTCCTGCTGGATGGAAAACTTCGTTTCTGTCACCGATTCACAAAAATGGTGACAAATGTAACGTCGTCAACTACCGTGGAATAATGTCCTTGAGCGCTTGCTCTAAGGTTTTTGAAATAATTGTTAACAACGCTCTCTTTGAAGCCACCAAAAACTACATTTCATATGCCCAGCATGGATTCTACCCGAAACAATATGTTACTACTAACCTCACTCTGCATACGCTCTATGGACGCATGATATCCTGTCGCAAAAACTCGAGAAGCTGTGGGTATCTTCCGCGCTTGTTAGCTGTTTTAGATCTTATCTGTCTGAAAGATCCGTGAGAGTAAGGATTGGTTCGTCACATTCGGAGCCGTTTATGATTCCTTCTGGTGTACCGCAAGGGAGTAATCTTGGACCGCTGCTTTTCTCATTATTCATAAATGACATTGCCTTTGTGTTGTTATGATCATCACGTGCACTGAGGATTGCCTGGAGTTGCAGAGGTTATTAGATTTGTTGGAGGACTGGAGCAAGCGAAACCTACTCGATTTATGCATAGCCAAATGCAACACAATATCATTCAGCAGGAAGCGGCAACCAATCAATTTCAACTACAGCATGTGTGAACAAACTCTCGAGCGCTCGTATTAGGTTAGGGATCTCGGTGTGATATTGGACCGCGAACTCACTTTCCGACCGTATTACGAAGACGTGATTGCAAAAGCCAATAAACATCTCGGCTTCATGTTTAAGCTTGCTGATGGATTTCGTGATCCTCTCTGCCTGAAGTCCCTTTTCTGTGCACTGGTTCGATCTATTTTGGAATCTTCCGTGCTGGTAAGGTGCCCGTACAACAGAAACTGGATTGACCGTATCGAGGCGGTGCAGAAAAAGTTTGTGCGCCTCGCTCTTCGGCACTTAACCTAGCGTGATTCGTCAAATCTTCCTCCATATGAACATCGTTGTATGCTGTTAGGCATCGATACTCTGGAGAAGCGAAGATCCAATTTGCAAGCCATCTTGCCCCAGATATTCTTGCTGAATTGCACGTATATGCGCCGCAAAGACCTTTGAGGCAACGTAATTTCCTGCACCTTGCTACCCGGAACAGCCGTTATGCTCAACACGATCCTATCAGGATAATGTCTTCTCGGTTTAACGATGTTAGTGGACAATTTGACTTCAATGTTTCTGCTGACACTTTTCAACGCCGCCTCAATGCACAGCGGTGGGTATCTGTCCAATCACTGCTACTTCGAAAGTGTGTTTTTTTTTATAACATGGTCCTTCTACAACACTACGCCGAGTTTCCATCCCATCGACGCGTTTGCAGATTGTTGTGTTCAATTATTTTAGATTATTGACTTAGCTTTTAATATGTTTGTCATTTGTATTCATTTGTATTCAACGTATTCTGTGTATTGACTATTTTTAATTTTATTTATTGTTATATGTATGAAAAGACATGGGGTTTTTACGCCTCTTTGAGCCAACTGAATGGTTTACTCAAAGAGGCTTTTCCCCATCCTAGATTTCATTAAGACTGAAAAAAGTCAGATGGAATAAGAATAAAAATAAAAAATAAAAATATAACAGAAGCTATAACTTTGGTCTACAGCTACTAACGCTACTCCCCCTCCATATTTTGATTATATTCACAGATCGCCTACAAATCATTTCAGGTTCTCCAGAACTCACGCGCTCAAAGGTTCTACAACCTGAGAGAGCACTGCCTATCGGAGAACATTCTTTTTGAAGATCCTGACTTCCCGGTAGAGGAGCAAATCCTTTTTGGACATCCACTGTCTCCAACACCCGGAGTCCAATGGCTTCGCCCGCCGGAATTCATAGCGAAGCCGAAATTCTTCGTGCATGACTCTTCAGAATTTAATGTCCAACCGGGATGTCTACCCTGTGGTTGGTTACAAGCGGCCATTTTGACACTATCCACCAATAAACGAGCATTGGAGCGTACCGCACCGCACGATAACTGCTTCGAGCATGGGAAATACGCCGGGATATTCCACTTCCGGTTCTGGAAATATGGACGCTGGCTCGATGTGGTGATTGACGATCGGCTTCCGACGATCGATAAGAAGTTAATATTCACCCGATCCAGTCGGGCCAATGAGATGTGGTGTTGTCTGCTGGAAAAGGCATACGCCAAGTTTCGTGGATCATACAATGCACTAAATTGCGGAATGGTCAGCGAAGCCATGCAGGACTTCTCCGGAGGCATTACGGAATGTGTTTATTTCAAAGGATCACAAATTTCACCACAGTATTTGTACGATTTGATCGATAGAGGATTGCAGAAGGGGTCAATGATGGCTGGAGTGAAGGTGGTAGGTGATTTTGCATAGCCAAACTGTAATTCAAAGGTTTTATAAATTATGCTACTTTCAGGTGGACATTCAACATGCGAAAGATCAATCATGTTGCATACATCCAATAATACAAACCATGATTTCGGGTTCCCAGCTGGTCTGCTTTCAACATCTCTGTGAACAGATATCACGAACGAAGAAAGAGCAGTCCAAGAAATCAATTCCAGAACGGCCCAGCAAATTCTGGTTGCGTGTTGAAGAGCTGATGAGTAAATTTCATGGTGTGGAAATGTGTCACATTTCACCTGATCCTTTGGGTGACCCAGAAAATGGCATACGACACTGGAGTGTCTTGTTGATGGAAGGAGCATGGGTATCAGGACATACAGCCGGTGGATGCAGAGATCATCCGGAGTCCTATGGAATGAATCCAAAGCATGATTTTAACTTATCCATGCCGGATGACGAATCCGGAATGTGTTCCATAGTCATATCCCTCATGCAGAAACAAATAACAGACAACTATCCCTGTTTGCTTATCGGATTTGCCGTTTATCGAATAACCGGACAAAAGCTGACAAGTCCGATGGTATTCTCCAATTACGGTAAACCGGAAATGATTACCCAAGTGAATTACTCAAACTCACGTGAAGTAATCTGTCGATTGAAGCTGGCACCTGGCAGATACCGTATCGTATCAACAACCAAACAACCTCACGAAAATGGAAATTTCGTTCTGCGAGTTTACTGGAATCCACGCGTTCAAGCTGACGAGTTAGACTATGCAATGATTGAAAAGCATCCAGCCGAACTATTGCTTACATCCGGTGACTGGGAGCTGTTGGTTCGAATGTTCTACGATCTAGCGAACCATTGGGGACTGATTGAGTGCGCCGACGTGGCATTCTTAGTGCTGGTACATTTTTCCGATTCAGTTCCCAAATCCAAACGACCGAAGAAATCCCCGAAACCACAAAGCAAACCGGTGGTCTTGATGGTTGAACCGCATACGGTTGAGAATTCTCCGGCCTACAAGGTGGACAGCACGCTACATCGGGCTTTGGTCGAACGGATCAATCTAGTGCGAAAAGAGAACAGTGTTCGGTTCGATTTCAAGCAATTTCTGCAGATCGTCAAAGACAATCGTCAAAGCTGGCAGGAACTGTTCGATTGTGGTCATTAAGGTCGTTATTTGCATGAGGCGACGTAGGGATACTATGTTCAACCTGTTCACTGTATTAACCTTGGGTGCGTCATATGTGTAGGGAATAGGACAGATTAGGTGGATTGATCAGAAAATAAATTGAATTGAAATAAATCGTTTGCTTCAGTGTAATCTAAACTACAACAGTAGAATCATAACGGTTCAGTTCCTTTCTCTGCTGTACGACAGTATTGATACATAGCGCTTATTCGTTGGTCTGCGTGTGAGAATGCCTTTTGGGTGTGAGTGAGAAAATCAGACGTGATGGCATGGCTGTTCCAACCGTAGAGATGCAATACAATATGAGTATGTATTAGTGATCGTTCATCTTTCAGCACGAACCAGATGACCGGCTTATGAGATGCGTGCAAGTTGGTGAGAGTGTAGAACCGATCCGCTGTCGAGCTGATCGTTGCATTGTATGATCTGAGAGAATCCATGATACTTATGAGAGAGATAGAGAGGGAGAGAGAGTATCGAGACACGGCGGATACGACAATATGCACAGCAAAAAAATTGTAGTATCGATCCGATGTCAATCATACAAGGTCTGGAACAACAAATAGCTTGCTGGTGTTAGAAGCAAAAATGTTGTAAACATTGCTGAGCAAGCGAATGCCGATGTCATGGCAGCACAACATTCCATACTGCGACTAGCAGACGTGTCGTCACAGAAAACAGCTGTTTCGTGTAAAAAGATAAACATTGCAATGAATTACGACCGCCACTAGACATTTTCACATTTCACTTATACCAATAAGCCGGTTGGGCCAGACCTTGTATAATTGACATCGGTATCGATCAACGTAATTCAAGGTTATGTATGAAATAATGATGTAATAGCAAAAAGCAGATCAATGGATGTAATTTTGATCGCAAAATCGATGTACATCGTACAATGTAATATCACACAACCAGCGGAATGACCTCTATGCAGCTGTTTGGATGTAATATTCAACAACCTTTTTTTTCTGTGTGCATTTGCCGTGCACTGAACCAAGACATCATCCTCAGACCATTCAAATCGAAACAATAAAATTGCTTTTTCGAATGATAGCTGAATCCGGATGACGGTTGTTTTGTAAGGGAAGGTCCAATAAATATGTCACGCAAATTTTACCCATTTTCAACCCCCTCCTCCCCCTAAAAGTGTGACATAATTAACGGACGATCCCTAATCAGATGATGGTCCTCTCGAAAACAGGATGAAAATTGATAAGGGGGCATTCGTTGAATGTACAATAATTGTCATCCCAAATTGAAATGCAAAAGGTATTCCTAAGGAACAGTTGGTTGCATCAAATAAACACATATGCCTAAGGGAAGCCTAATGACTGCTTCCTTAGTTGAATAATATACTTGTTGAATCATTACTTTAATAAAACATATTTCCATTTCTTTAAATCCTTTTGTTCCACTATACATCTATGCCTGAAGAAATAGTTGATAAAATGACCTTACTTACAAAAAAGTTGCTTTTGTTCCAATAAACATTGATGGTAGAACAATTAGCAACTTAAAAGCTTTTAAAGATTCTACTAACTGATTTGATCAGCTAATGCATAGGGGAAACGCTCCTATAGTAGCGGTACGTTAGAAGCGTTAGGTTCCTATAGTTGTGTATTAAGTCTCCATGCACAACTATAGGAACCTAACGCTTCTAACGTACCGCGACTATAGGAGCGTTTACCCTGTATGCTTAACGACATATTTTACTTGAGTTGTTGTGTTCTGTACTAAAGCTAATGGGCAGCTTGATTATTTAGATAATAAAACAATGTGAATAATAGCATTGCAATACACTGTTATTCATCCAAAGTAATTTGAGCTTGAGTAATGTTTTTTTCTGAGTAGTAGTAAAATTATGTTTATTTCTGTTGATTATGGTAGTACATTGATTTATCATTTCAATTGATTAGCCTACCTGGCTCTTCATCGTTGTTTAATTTGATATTCTAATTTAATATTTTCGTGTTTCAACTAGTTTACAGAATACCCCTTTGGGGATGTGTTTTATTTTAATTGAAAATAAGTGATAACCTACCTAACTACGAGTATAACTTAACCTAACGTGCTAGATCACGTATGATCTGATGATTTGATCTCAGGCAGGTGTCTCTGAACCTTTCCAGGATGAATACTCTCCGTTCTTCTAATGTCTGAATTCCAGCCAGGAGGTGGATCTCAGAATTTCTAGTCCGCGGGGGACTGTTTAGGACCATCCTTAGGATCTTGTTCTGGATCCTTTGGAGTTTAAGGTGATGGCATTTTGCGCAACTCTCCCAGATTGGCATACCGTACTCGATTACAGGAAGGATGATTTGTTTGTAGACAGCATGCTTATTTTTCAGGGACAGGGTTGACTTCCTGTTGATAAGTGGATACAACGATATTATCCCCAGATAAAGAAGGGGCTTCTGTTCTTAAAAATGGGACATCAGGGGTTTTGGATGTCTCCGGGAGAGGTGGAAAATCCTGGGTATAGTCAGTTCTTCTTAATCCAGGAGGAGTAGAAACTTCCTTTTTTCCACCACTCCTTGATTTGGGCAAGCTGATTTGGGGTTCTTCATTCTCAACTTTCCGCGAACGGATGCGTTTTCGTTTCCGTGCTGAAAAACAGAAAGAAGTTCCCTCCTCAGCCAAGTCAGAGTCAGTCTCTTTCACAAAAGAGAAAAGGGATTTTTGTCGTTGGTCGATGGCGTGGCCGTCTTAAGCATTTCTGCAAAAGACTGTCGGGAACGTTCCTTAAGTGAGCGTTGTAATTTCTCCCCGCGTTGTTTGTACACCGGGCATGACGAGATACCATGAGGAGTTCCCTTACAGTACACGCATTTTGGTGCGGTAGCTGCACAGGTGTCATCCCCATGCTTCTCTCCGCATTTGGAACAGCGTGCCTTGCTGCCACAGTGGGAGGCCGTATGTCCCAACTGCTTACAGTTTTGGCAGTTCATGACCCGGGGAACGAACAAGCGCACAGGTAGTCGAAGTTTTCCCAGCTCGATGTAGTGAGGAAGGGCTGAACCAGAAAAGGTCACACGGAACGAGTCTGTGGGGGTAAAACTCTTTTTACCCTCGCTGACAGATACTGAGCCCAGTTTTTGGACATCCAGTATCTTCACCGGGGGAAGCAAACGGTTCTTGAAACGGCCAACCGCCTGCTTCTCCAAGATCTCGGGGGTCAGACTCGCTTCGGTGACCACACCTTCGATCTCCACATCACGAGCTGGGATGTAAACTCTGTACTCGAGCGTGAAGAGCTGGGAGGCAGCAATCTCGTTAGCCTGCTTCAGGTTAGAGACGGAGACACGAAGTTTATTGTGCCTAACCTTCGTGATTTCAGTTACGGCCGAGTATCGCTTCGTCAGATCATTAGTAATTTGCATTACATTCAAAGGTTTGTTTCTGGGCTGAAAGTAGACAACCCATGGGCCAGTCGAGTCATCTGGATAGGCTCGCGATCGGGGGTTTATCTGAGCCCTCGGCGCCTAATTCATAGGTGTCACAGTCGGAAGAAGTGTTAGTTTGTTTACTAAAATGAACCATGCCCATTTTGTTATGGCATGTTTGCTATAAGAAATGCGCCTCGTGTTTATTAGCGAATTTCACATCAAAGATTGATTAATTGAGTAGGAAATCAGTTTGGCACGGCATTTGTGACCAACATACACCTTCCGGTAGTATGAAACAGGTCAAAAACTGTTCAAATCCGCAGATAAAAAATTTTGTTTAGAATTTCTGTATAGCAAAATAGTGAACTTTTCGTTGCATAGATAACCATGGGATCACGATAGGCGACTACATACAACGAGTGGAGATAGCGGCCCGGAGGGGGGACCCAACAGAATGGAGAAAAACGGAGAAAAAAACAAAAAAGAAGAAAATGAGAAAACCCAAAAAAAAATATGAAGGACGACGGCAAGACGCCAGAAATTGAAAACGGAGGAGCGAACGTGTTCGCAAGGAGCGGGATATTGCAGAGATCACCAGTGTTGAACCTGGAGGCAACAGCGAGTTCCAACAGCAGCAGTAAGCCCCAAGGTGAGCAGCAAGGACACCAAGGAGAGCTAGGTCTTATGCTAAGCCAGGTGTTCACACCGAAATCCAGCAGTAGCACACCCCAAGAAGGATTGCAGCTTGGGAAGACCAAATTGATGGAGGTCAGGAGGAGGATCAATGAACTCCATGACTTCATCAAGGATAAGAGCAACGTCCACAAGGCAATAAAGGAAATGGTGACGGGCATCAAATCCGCCATTATTGCTGCCGAACGTGAACAGGATGCGCTGAGGACTGCGCGTAACTGCCGAAAGGGCACTGATCGAGGCCAAGGAGAAAGCAGAGTGCTGATTGAACCAGCGACCGAAACGGATGTGTTTTGTTTCTTCTGTGCTTTTTTTTGCTGCTGAAAACCTTTTCGCATGCGTTTTGTTCTCGAGTGACTGGAGGTGAACTGGTGATCGCATTTAAAAGTTTTGAATACCGTGCGTGATTTTTTTTTTTTTTTTGATCTCTTGTTGCTTATGCAATGGTGCTTGGTGTGGTCTTGCGTTTTTCTTTGTTGCCCCGTACAACCTCTATCACGCTGATATATTTTTCTGTTGCTGCGATGAGCAACTTCTTTGTGTGGTGTTAAAGAAGACAGTCCGAAAATACATGACCTTGATTATGCGTGGAGTGCGTTCTTTTGTACGTACGAGCTAGAAGAGTGTTATCAGTGATACCACCGCAATCAAGGAAAATTAAATAAAGCATTTCTGAAAACATGACGCTGCAAAGTCTCTAGGCCAATCGGGTGAGATCTTTCCATTTTATCTATTTATATTTTATTTTTTGTCACTGATTTATCAAATGCTCTATATTGACGAATAGAGTTGCCAAATCATTCACCCTCCCACTAACACAACTCTTTCCTTCCTGTGACACCTATGAAGGTAGTATGGGTTCCCTGCACCTTCTTAAGTAGATGTTGGATTAACTTTCCCTCCCTTCCCCTGCGATTGTAAGGATGTGGCCAGGTGTATAATGCGATGCTTGTATTGTAGA